GGGCATGCATTCTAGGTATAGAAACGCCATGTGCCTTGAAAGGACCCATCTGGCACTGGCAGTGAATCTGGTGACGCGGACCATAAAGCCCGGTGAACGTAGCATAATTTTAAATTCTCAGCAATGGCTGCATGTTTTGGCTTATTAAGATTATAAACTCCTAAAACCTATGTTTCTCCATAGATGGGACATATGCTTTTGTTCTTCCAGATCCATTTTACCACCTGTTTTTGCACCAAGAGGCCGACCTGGAGATACCACATCAGTGGACTCTTAAGATCTCTGACTTCCATGTCAGTTCAGCCAGTGGAGTGTCCTAGCAGGACATGGGGACAGGAATGAGACTGAGGGTCACGTAGGGAAGTAATAAGAAGCAAAGAGCCATCCGGGTTGTTTCTTAGACCTGCTGGCTTTCAAGAGAAGGGGAGATAAAACAAACTCTCTAGGGAAGCACTGTGAACTTTTGGAGGGGCAGCTCTGCCTAGTGGTTAAGGAAGCCGAATTCCACCTGGCATACCATGGGGTTGGAAAGCCCACCCTCCCCACACACACAGCTTGAAAACATGCTGGGCATGTGTATATGCATGCTCCAAATCCTGACAAGCAGGAGAAACGGAGGTAAAAAGTGGGACCACACACTACAGGGAATACATTCTCCTTCTCTTTCTCGCTCTGTTTATCTCTGAGGAAGACATGAAACTTATGTGCAAAGAGAAAAAATTATTTGAACAAGGTTATTCATGAATCTGTACACATTAATTGTGCCTATTATTATAGGTGGTCAGAGAATGATCTCTGTATTCTCACACTGCTAGAAAGTCTGAGTCTTCTTTTACAAACGTACCTACTTCTCTTTACATTCATCTATTTATTTATTGACCTATCTATCCCTTATCTATCTGTATCTGTATACATACCTCTTTCTCCCTATCCTTGTCTCTCTCTCTCTCTCCACACACACCCATCCACACACACAGACTAACTCATGTATTAATAATCATGCTTCTCTGGTAGTAACATTTTGGGAGTAATTTGTTTTATTTCTTATATATTGTTATATATCAAGATTTTCTTTTAATGAGTATAAGCTCTTGATGCTTGGGTGGGTGGGAAGAAATTATTTTTTAAAATACTCCTTGGGCCAGCCAGTGATGTGGTGGTTAAGAAGGCTGAGTTCACACTGCTGACTGTGCGGTTTGAGTCCCAGACCCAATGACTTGGCAAACATGCCAGGTTCCTATGTGTGCCTAAATCCCAAGAGGAGAATGGAGGAGAAGAGGTGCTGGCACAGCTGTGCCGCCGGGAGGTACCTTCTCCCTCTCTCAAGTGCATTTACCCTGTAGCGAATCCATATATGTCCATTTATATTAGGTCGTCAGGAAAGTCATGATTTTCCCAGCAACTCAACGTATGTATATGTGTATAGATACACACACATCTATTTATTTATATAACTTACTTTTAAATGGAAACCCGCTGCTGTCGGACAAAAGGAAGACAAGCAAAACTTTTTGATACAGTAGGACAACAGGCTGATAGGACCCAGGGCTGTGCAGGGGTGGAGGGGCCAATACCCTGGAGGAACCAGGAGGTATGGCATTGTACTGAGGAGGAGAGGGACCAGACCAGGAAGCTGGAAATCATCAGACATAAACCTCACTTATCACACCCCTCAGTACAAAGACCAGCTTCTACATGCCTGAGAGAAAGCTGGAGCTTTTCCAAGGCAGAGCCTATGACTTTTAAGGGGTGAGTTTAGACTTTAACAGAAAATGGCCAAGAGAAAGGAAAAATAAGAGATTCCAACAAAATCTATTGTGCTTTTCAGTATTTTGGTAGGCAATCTTTTCCCCTTGGCTGTACCATCATAATTATTAGCTCCAACTGGATCCTAGTTTGATAAATGCATCTGAATGAATGGAAGCAAGCTTTTATTTTTTTTTAATTTTTTAGTTTTTCTTTTCCATAGGGGACATGCACTCTCCAGAGAAAGAGAGAAACAGGGAAAGCCAAAGTGAGAAATCATCTCCCAAGGGAGATGACCAGGCCACAATCCTTTCTGCTCCATTCTCCCCTCAGGATTTTGGGCACACATACACACATGCCGGATATGATTTTCAAGGTACTGGGCCCAGGACTTGAACCACTGTCAACCAAATTAGGGTCCAGCACCTTAACTGCCATGCCACCTGCTGGGCTCAAGAAGGCATCTTTTCGGGAGTTGTGTGGTATGGCTAAACCTAATGTGATCGTGAGGTGTCGATCTCACTTCTTTACACTGGCTTAGATGGACAATCACCTGCCAGTCTCCCACCGTCCTATCAAGAACATTTCTTCATATGTGGGATACACCCGCCTACCCAAACGGCATGTCCATCACTGCTGTCCACTACTGCAGCCACAGCCACAGGTGGGTGTTGAGTTTTGAAAAGTGGCTAATCCCAATCAGGGCGGGTGGGTGGAAAGGAAAAAAAGAAAATCACACTGTAAACCCTTCAGTCCTGCATTCACAGTGCCCCAGGAAGGCATTACTCTGCACTGCAACCACTTGCCCCACTTCAGTTTTGAAATTAACCAGTTTCAGAAATAGCTGAACCTGTTCAAAATGTTAAATCCTTATCCTGGATTTCAAAGACTTGCTACTTAAAAAACATGAAAAGCCTTAATAATTTTTGTATTGGCTGTATGTTAAAGTTGCATTTTTCCATATACTGGCAATAGTAAGAAAAGCAATTCTTTTACTTTACCTTTAAAGTATAGACTTTTAAAATTCCCTATGTGCCTTGTATCTGTGGGTCAGATTTCACTTCTTTTAAAAAAAAATCATTCACACAGTATCTCATTATGTCTTGATCCTTCTGCCTCAGGTTTTTGAGGAATTTTGATGACCAAATGTTCTACCTTGGGACCCGCAGTTAGCGTAATGACCAAATGTACTACCTCTTGGGGTCTTAGGGCAGACTGGTACTGGAACCAGGGCCTGCCACGTGGCTTCTGCCTGCCAGCCCCCCTGCAAGCCTCCTGGACTGGGCCTCCATTTGACTTGTACTGTGTGGAGAAGCCCTTTTGTGTGAGAGCATGAGAACTCTGTCTCTATACTGTGAGTCTTTAATACCCACATAGATGAAATATCTATACTCAGACAGTGAAAGCGTGAGCACACAATATAATCACGTAAGAGCCAGAAGACAACTCGGATCCCATCATTTTCCAGATGAGGAAACAGAGGCCTGAGTATAAGCATTCATGGGATTGCACGCTGTCAGAACAACTTCAAAACGATCTTTGTTATCTTGCTTCTGCAAATCAGATGGAAAGACCCAGAGAACTGTTTTTAAATATATTAAAGCTTAAGTTAGAATTAAACCTCAACGGGTTTGTCAATATCCAATTTGAGGATACAGAAGGACATTAAAGCTTGGCAGGACTTGCTGCTCATTGTTGTAAAATCCTGAGCTTTATGGCATCAGGCTCTAATAACTCTCCACCAACTGAAGAATTAGTTGGGATTGGCGGTTCATAAGCATAAAGCCATATCCAGCACTTCACATTTACCCAGCGGGGTCACGAATCCACCGGTTCTGTCCAAGCACCGAGTTAGAGCCACGAGGTCCCGTTTGGAAGCTGAAGAGGGACTTCTCTGACTTCCACGTCTACGGTTTAACAGAGAACAGGAAGGCAGGTCAGAGGACAGCTGCGAAGTCCCAGCACTGGGCAGGAAGAATTCCTAGTGAGTTTCCTGCAATATGGACATTGCGCCTTCTGCTGCAAGACCTTGTCAGCACCCTCCGCGGGCCGAGAGAGCTGCCTCCACAACTTCAGGGCTGGTACGAAGCTGCCAGTCTACCGCCCACGTTGCAGGCGTCCTGTGGAGACAAGGAAGCCAAGAAATCAGGAACAAATAGGACTGGAACAAAACCACCACCTCAGGCAGGTTCCACGGGCCACCTCCCTCCATTAACCAGCTAGGCGCTTTGTATCCCTTCCTGACCCGCTCTCCGGGGAGCATAGGAAAGGCATATAAGGTCAAGGGAGGCGAGAGAAAAAGGAAACTGCTGTTCATGAAGGGACATTGACCTCTTTGCACACCTGCACACACGCACATGCTTGTGCACACACAAATACAAACACGAAAAGGAAAGACGCCGCGTCGAAACATGGGCACACGGATTTGTAACTGAATTTTCGTTTTTAGAGTTCATCTCTGCCTTTATTTGTTGGCTCATTCCTAACAGGTTGTTTAGGCCCTAGGTGGGGACGGGAAGGCGACTTGATCAGCCTAAATCAATCCAAGGAAAAACAACCGACAGGGAAAAAAGAAAGAAAGAAAGTCGAGCGGGGATAGAAAGGATTTCGCTCTCGGCCGGCGGAGCGGCCAGTTGCGTAGGTAGAAAGCAAAGCTGTTGCGGAGGAATTCAGTTCGCCCAGACAAATGGGGGCGTGGCGCGCAGCGCGCTCCGGGAACCGCTGCGAACAAAACTTCCGAAGGTTCTGGGACCATGAGGAGGTCTGCAGCGGTGGGAAGGGGTGTGGTGAGGTGAAGTCGGGGAGGATGTGGACACAGAGGCGGGAGGAGAGCAGCGTGGAGAAGACCCGGAGGGGGTCAGGGCCGCGAAGGGCTGTGCAGAGCTGGAGACGTTGGGAGCCCCTGATCCGGCCAGTGGCTCACTGGGTGGAGTCAGGCCCCCGGGGATCGGCCCGCCCCAGCTGTCAGTCAAGCAACCCGGGGGCTGCGGCAGCCCCGCTCGGCTCCAAACGGGAGAGGCTGCCTGGAGGTGGGGAGGAACAGTGGGGAAGGGGCGTCGCCCCTGTCGCCTCCGCCTTCTCCAGTGCCATTGGGCGGCCGCTGCGGAGTTCGCGCCACCTTTTCTCCATCCCACCCCGCCCGCCCGGCTGGCCCGGCCCCTGCGCCGCTGGTCCGCG